TTAAATAGTGGGAGATTGAAGAGACAGAGGCAGGTCTTCAACTTCAACTCTTTATTGTAACAAGTAATAACCCAGCAACTGTCTGTCGGACAGCTTGCCCTTTTATAGGGAGCTGTCAGATGGTTTAGCCAATCGGAATAAACTATTTTTCCCGCCTAGACAACGTACCTGAGTGAAGCCTATATTCTTCAGCTTCACTCTTTCATTGAGTATTCAACACAGTCTTCAACACCTTCCGTTAAAATTTGTTACTACCAGTTCTGTGGGTGTGGCTTGGGGGAGGTAATGTGACTGGGTGGGTGTGGCCACTTTTTTTTTTTACTTTTAAAACCATTTTTTCTACAACTCTTCGGCCAAAGAGATTGTAAAAAAAAAAATGCTTTTAAAAGCCTCTGACAATCCTAGCTGAGTTGCCTGATCGGCAGAGGCTTTTTTTTCTTTTAAAAGCATTTTTTTCTACAACCTCTTTGGCAAAGAGGTTGTAGAAAAATGCTTTTAAAAGCCTCTGACGATCCCAGCTGAGCCGCAGGCTCATCAGAGGCTTTTTTTTTTTTTACTTTTAAAAGCATTTCTTCGGCTGAAAAGGTTGTAGAAAAAATGCTTTTAAAAATAAAAAAAAGTCTCTGATGATTGCGTGGCTCAGTTGGGCATGGGGGGGGGCGGGCAGGGATGTTTGCTACCGGTTGTCCGAACCACCCGCTGCCATCGCTACCAGATTGGGCGATCCGATCCGAACTGGGAGCATTTCACCCCTGAGTGGGGGCCATTCTAATCTCTGGGGGAATGATATAGCTGAAACTCTAGGGTAAAGTGCTGGAAACTTTCTTTGCCAATAGAGAATGAACTCACTTTCAAATGCCTGGGTGGTGACATTTAACACAGGCTGATGAAGAACGATTTATTTATCCGCATGAGATGCAGGGGAGCATGGAGAAAGAAATGCTGCCTAAAATGGAAACTAAAGGCTTAGGTTGTTTTGTTTGCTAAGTTAAAAAAAAAAGGCAAGCACAAATAGTATTCAATGTACTGTGTCTTAGATCAAAATCCCAAGAACCCACAAAACTCTGGCAAACAGGTTTTTGCAATAATTTGATGCAAAAAGGAAGGGCATCTAATCACAAGCAGGGAAATGGCCTTAGGCTTCTCTTAGCTACTTATTCACCATACAGGGTTTAATCTCTTTTGCAGTTAATATAAAATAATACAGATTAGGGTCTTATTGACCAAATTACCACTGAGCACTCTTGATTTCCCAGAATTTGATACAAGAGTCTGCCATTAACATGCTAACAGACCCATTACCAAAATTGTGTAGCTTCTATCCTAGTACAAATGATTCTATTTTGGTTTCCCTTTAAAGTCATCTGCAGAGAACCGCCCAGCCGCCTTGTTTAGGGTGACCCACTCCCTCCTCCGGGGGGGAGTGCGGGAAGATCCCTTGCAGGGTCGCGCTGAGGATTTTGTGCAATTCCTGCACGATAAAGTCGCTCGGATTCGGGATGGCTTGGACTCCGACTGGATGAGTCCACGGGAGGAGACGAGGGCAGGTCTTGAGAATGTTACCTGGGAGGAGTTTGATCCTGTGACTCCCGAGGATGTTGACAGGGTTCTGGGTAAGATTAGTGCCGCCACGTGTTTATTGGACCCGTGTCCCTCCTGGTTGGTGCTGGCCTCCCGGGAGGTTACACGAGGCTGGCTCCAGGGGATTATAAGTGCTTCTCTGAGTGAGGGTGCCTTTCCTGCCACCTTGAAAGAGGCGGTAGTGAGGCCCCTCCTCAAGAAGCCTTCCCTGGACCCGGCTGAATTAGCCAACTATCGTCCAGTCTCCAACCTTCGTTTTGTGGCGAAGGTTGTTGAGAGCGTGGTGGCACGACAACTTCCCCGGCACCTGGATGAAGCTATCTATCTAGACCCGTACCAGTCGGGCTTCAGTACAGCACTGAAACGGCATTGGTCGCGTTGGTGGATGATCTCTGGAGGGCTCGGGACAGGGGTTGCTCCTCTGTCCTAGTCCTATTAGACCTCTCGGCGGCTTTTGATACCATCGACCATGGTATCATGCTGCAGCGGTTGAGGGGGTTAGGAATAGGGGGCACCGTTTTGCGGTGGTTCTCCTCCTTCCTCTCCGACCGCTCGCAGTTTGTGTTGGCAGGGGGACAGAGGTCGACCTCGAGGCATCTCGCATGGGGAGTGCCGCAAGGGTCGGTCCTCTCGCCTCTCCTGTTCAACATTTATGTGAAGCCGCTGGGTGAGATCATCCGTGGTTTTGGGGTGAAGTGTCATCTGTACGCTGATGATACTCAGCTGTACATCTCCACCCCAGACCACCCCAACGATGCCCTTGATGTGATGTCCCGCTGCCTGGAGGCCGTGCGGGCCTGGATGGGGAGGAACAGGCTCAGACTCAACCCCTCCAAGACCGAGTGGCTGTGGCTTCCGGCGCCCCGATATAGTCAGCAGGTGCCATCGCTGACTATTGGGGGTGAATCTTTGCCCCCCACAGAGAGGGCTCGCAATCTGGGTGTCCTCCTGGACGCACGGCTGTCTTTAGAAGAGCACATGACGGCCGTGGCCAGGGGGGCCTTTTATCAGGTTCGCCTGATTCGCCAGTTGCAGCCCTTTCTGGATCGGGACGCCTTGCGCACGGTCACTCACGCCCTTGTCACCTCCTGGTTGGACTATTGTAATGCTCTCTACATGGGGCTCCCCTTGAAGAGCACTCGGAGGCTCCAACTGGTCCAGAATGTGGCCGCGCGGGTGGTTATGGGTGCAACCCGTTGCGCCCACGTGACACCCCTCCTGCGCGAGCTGCACTGGCTCCCAGTGGTCTTCCGGGTGCGATTCAAGGTGTTGGTTACCACCTTTAAAGCGCTCCATGGCATAGGACCCGGGTACCTTCGAGACCGTCTTCTGCCACCAATAGCCTCCCACCGACCAGTCCGCTCCCACAGAGAGGGTCTCCTCCGGGTGCCATCAGCCAAGTTATGTCGGCTGGCGACACCCAGGGGGAGGGCCTTCTCTGTGGGAGCTCCAGCCCTGTGGAATGAACTGCCCCCCGAAATACGAAAGATTTCCGACCTCCGGGTGTTTCGCTGCGCTCTGAAGACCCTGTTGTTCCGCCAGGCAGGGTTACTAACATAACGTTTTAAATTGGGGTATTTTAAATTTCTGGGATTTTAATTGGAGCCTAATTATTTAATGATTTTAAATTTTAAATTGTTGTCGTGTTTTTTGTGTTTTTAAATAGGCTGTACACCGCCCTGAGTCCTTCGGGAGAAGGGCGGTATAGAAATAAAATTATTATTATTATTATTATTATTATTATTATTATTATTATTATTATTATTTTAGATTTGTCCCTCTTTGATTGCATCTCTATTTCAGTGTTACCATTCCTCTTACTCATTGGAAACTCATTTCTTGAATAGTCAAGGAGTTTCCAGATATTCCTCAATTGTTCGTTAGCAACATCTACTGCAGAAGCAATAGAAATTTGCAGAATGAATCCAAGATAGGACTGGAAGTTATTTGGAATTTTAAATATTGGTTTTATAATACCAGCAATGATAATATATATTATTATAAAATAATAAAGGTGGAATATAAATAAAAATACACATAGGATTTTAAATAATTAGCTGTAATTAAATGGCTTATTCACTCGTATTATTAAAAAATAAATTGATACTTTTTTTAAATTTTGATTTACATGCCGCCCTTCTCCGGAGACTCAGGGCGGCTTACAAGGCGTTAAGCAATAGCCTTCATACTTTGTATATTTTATACAAAGTCAGCTTATTGCCCCACAAACCGGGTCCTCATTTTACCTACCTTAGAAAGGATGGAAGGTTGAGTCAACCTTGAGCCTGGTGAGAATTGAACTCACAGTAATTGCAGACAGCTGGAAGCTAAATACTACCTTTAACAGTAGCATTAGTCTGCTGCGCCACTTCAGGCATAGCCAGATAGCCATGTTAAAGTACAATACAGCAGTTACTGAAACAACAAAATAGTATGCCAGAATAAATAGCCGAGTCCTATTCTATCGTCGTAATGAGAGGAAAGTATAATGTTGCCCTTACAGTTTTACTGCAGGACAAGCCAAGAAAATTGAGTGGATTTCCTTGGCTTGTTTCCCTTCTCACTGTAAGCAGAAAAGCAGACTCTTGTATCAAATTCTGGGAAATCAAAAGTACTCAGTGGTAACTTGGTCAATAAGGCCCTAATCTGTATTCATCAATTGCTTTCCTTGACATACTGTATGCTGGGGTAGAGTTCATTGAATGGTAGATTTAGTCACATACCAAGTTGCCCTACTTACAGCAGGCACAGAATGTGCTCTTTTGCTGTTTCAAAAACACACCACACCATGTTGAGAAATAGTGTGACTGGTGGATGACAGGTCCAGAGGAGGTATTGTGAAGAGCATTGGGTTCTCCCTGCAAGTTCATGTCTGGGAGAGAACACCCAAGTGGGAATGGAGCATCAATAACAAGTGATCTGAATTCTTGCAAGGGAATGGTGCTGCTACATTGAATAATCATGACTAGAAGCATTAGGAAATGGCCTATGAAATAGATGCAATTGGGTAGCCACTGCATCAAATTAATAAAAACAATTAAAAATTGGCCACATGAAATTTCTTATTAGTTACAAATAGTCTGTAATGGCCTTACTGGTATGTTAGAACCAGCAATACCGTCAGCTCTCTTTCAAGTCAACTCTCTGGAATTTTGCCCACAGCTGACTGGAGTTGGAGCTAGACAGATTCCAACCCCCAATCACTATCATATCATTAAAAAAACATGTTTTATTCCTACTTTGCATCCATGACAAAAGCTGTGACAAGCAAATTTGGACACTATAACAGGAAAAGATCTCAAATTACTTCAGCTATGGGCTAAGAATGAGGTGAAGGCAATGTCATGAGAACAAGTCATAAACAATGGTTACTAGGACAACCTTTATGCTGTGGCTAGAGGACTTTAAGGATAAGCTCTTTATTACCTTCATCCATTGTAATTGTGTTTTTCCTAAGGTCCTTTCCCTAATGCTATATTGAAGTGTTTTCTACTCATCTTTGAGTTGTCAGAAAATTATACTGCCTGTTTCCCAATCTTGTTACTATTACCTGTGCTTTCTAGTTATGGCCTGGCAGCTGACTTCATTCTAAGGTAAAGGAAGACCATAGTTAGCAGGTTTTGTACATTTCAAGGCTGCCTTTGGACAGAATAAGCAAGAAAATATTACTTTAGCACTAGTATAACAAAGAATTATTTAATTCTGACTCACATATGGGTTGAGAATGAGATGAAAGCAGCACGGAATCAAGGCAGAAAAAGAGTTTGCCAGAGCAGGTGTGTGCCAGGATTAGGTCTAGGTGACAAGACTCTTAAGGATTCTTCAGTTTTATGCTTGAGAAGATTTAACATTTGAGTAGCAAGGAGGCAACAAGAAAGTATTTCCAGATTCTTTTAATACTAATCTTCTATACAACTTAATTGTAGTTTATTTATTTATTTATTTATTTATTTTTTAAATTAATCTTTGGGATGCTTTTAAAATTAAAAAATGGACAAAATAAAATGAATGAATGATAAAGCATGTATAATTAAAAATAAATCAGTGAGGTTACAGTTAATTTTTTTAAAGTATATACCTCAGTGAACTATACAATATTGAAAATGAAAGAACGCACGTTTCAGTTATACACATTTCAGCTAACCATTCATTCATCTGTTTTTTTAATTTGCTCCAATTGAGAAATTCTGATTAATTACAATCATACCAGTCGTGGGTTTCAAATTTTTTTACTACCGGTTCAGTGGGCGTGGCTTGGTGGGCGTGGCAGGGGAAGGATACTGTAAAATCTCCATTCCCTCCCAATCAGCTAGGACTTGGGAGGCAGAGAATAGATGGGGGTGGGGCCAGTCAGAATTTTTACTATCAGTCTCCAAACTACTCAGATTTTCCACTACCAGTTCTCCAGAACTGGTCAGAACCTGCTGAAACCCACCTCTGAATCATACCACTAAAGCATCATTAGTGTAATGCAAATTAAATTAATAAATATGAAAATATAAAAAGTAAAATAATAAAAAAAAATCAGTCAAAGAATTTTCATGACTTCATTTAAGAATCATAGGCCCACTTAAAACTATTCTATTTTAAATAGGTTTCTAATATTTAATATGGTAGATAATGATTGAATTTCTTGGTTTACTGAAAAAAATATTCTCTTTTAATACTTTAAAATTAACACTACAATTTCAAGATTATACTCCCATTATATTTCTAGCAGCAGGTAGCCCTCAAGTTACAACCACAATTGAGCCCAAAATTTATACTGCTAAGTAAAACATTTGTTAAGTGAATTTTGCCCTATTATATTACTTTTATTTATTTATTTATTGGTTCAATTTATATGCCGCCCTTTTCCAGAGACTCAGGGTGACTTACAATGCGTTAAGCAATAGCCTTCATACTTTTGTATATACCTGCTTAGTAGGGCTTTCCCCCACCCCAAAGCGGTGTTCTTTTTTTTAATTCAAAGTCAGCTTATTGCCCCCACAAACTGGGTCCTCATTTTACCTACCTCAAAAGGACCTTTTCTTGCCACATTTGTTAAGTGAATCATTTCATTTGTTAAGTTAATAAAATGGTTGTCAAGTAAATCTGGATTTCCCATTAACTTGACATCAGAAGCTCACAAAAGGTGATCACATAACCCCGGGACACTGCAACCATCATAAATATGAATCAGTTATTAAGCATCTGAATTTTGATCATGTGACCATGGGGATGCTGCAATGGTTGTAAGTGTGAAAAACGGTCATAAGTCACTTTTTTCAGTGTCATTGTAACTTTGAACTGTCACTAAATAAACTGCTGTAAGTCGAGGAGTACCTGTATTTTCATATACACCTTTGACTGATTAAATATGAAATGTTACCAATTAATTGAAGAAATAATAAGTTATTATTATTTCTTCAATTATTTGGTAACGTTTTATATTTAATTTTAGCTGCTTCCAAATTTCTTAGACAATCTATTGTTATATAATCAAAATGACAAAAATAAACTAAGTATAAGCTTGAAGAAACCGAGTACAGAGTCTTTAAAAAATGCAAATAATATTTTTGTAAGGAAAATCTTCTTATAGGGTGGGACTGAAAATGAGCATGAGGTTATCACAAGGGGATTTAAACCTTCTATGTGAGAAACATACATTACTACTGTATATCCCAGAAGAGAGCACAATTGACTGGAAACCAGCTGTCCCACCACATTGTTTCATTGAAGTGACTTACTCTTAGATAGTTTTCCAATTCAGAATTGCATGGAACTTTGTTTAAGAACAAGAGGCATCAGTCAAGATGAGCAGTGGTCTCTAACATTTCTGCATCATAATTAAATTTCCTTAAGTGTAGCTGAATGTTGGCATAGAGGTAGTCCTCAATTTATGACCACAGTTGAGCCCCAAATTTCTGTTGTTGAGACATTTATTAAGTGAATTTTGTCCCATTTTACAATCTTTCTTGCCACAGTTGTTAAGTGAATCACTGCAATTGATAAATTAGTAACTTGGTTGTTAAGTGAATCTGACTTCCCCATTGACTTTGCTTGTCAAAAGATTGCAAAAGTGATCACATGACCTTGCAACACAGCAATGGTCATAATTATGAACCAGTTGCCAAGCATCTGAATTTTGATCACATTATGGGGATTCTGCAAAGGTTGTAATTGTGAAAAATCATCAAAAGTCACTTTTTTCAGTGCTGTTGTAACTTTGAACAGTCACTAAATGAACTATTGTCAGTAGAGGACTACCTGTACTTGGCGCTCACACATTTAACTTCAACCGGGTGCAATACATCTCAGCATTGGTGTATTCTTTAAATGTAGTAAATTTGCATCAAGAAGTCTTTAGAGAATTTTGTAGAATAGTCAGTAGTGTCTGCAAGAAAGGGATGAGGGAATCGATTAACATCAGCAATGCCATGATGCAATCTCTGCCTGTATTCTATATGTGACCTGATGTTTCCCACATACCCCAAGGAGTGGATTTTGTAGTGCAAAATCCGCTTTCATCATTCTGATGAAAGTGATGAACTTGTCTGGATGCCCCTAGCAGTATCCCAGTCTTTGAAATGTGTTCCAGGATTCCTTGGGAATGCTGTCAATATGAAAAAGTTTCCATGAAAAAAAACCTACAGTGCCACGGCTTTGAGGGTTTTGTGTGCTCCTGCTTCCTATGCAATTCTGTATCAGTTTCTTAAGCAGAAAACTTCCCCTACTATCCTTCCTCATTTCTTAATGTAATTTAAACATCATTGAGATTGACTATTTTGAAAAATGAGTCTTCATGGAATTCTACTGTTTCATGGCCCATTGACTTTAGGATATTGCCATCTGTCTGAAATGACAATGGAAATGATATTCGCAGTAGGGAAAAACAAAACCCAGAAGATATATATTTTACAAGGTAGCTATAGCAGAAAAAGAGATCCAATAAATAATTCACTGAATAAAGTGAACATATGGTGTTTGACATAATTCTCAGCTGCAAATCTTGCTGGTAGAACTCTATCCCTCCACCCACAGTAAACTACTTGAAAAAAATTGTGGTCTCTTGAATGTTGCAAATATGTATATTAATTTATCTTTTTTAAAAAATGAAATTACAATCCTTAACCTAACTTCTATGATTTGCTGTGTTTGACTAATGCTGTTTAACAAGTAACAGTCTTTACTGCCTTATGCTGGTAAAATATGTTTTGGGTTGTTCAAATATACCTTAAAGTTGATTAGATAATTATTATAGTTCAAAGATTGAAAACTGTTTTATTTTTTCAGTGATCTTTTAAAATTAATTTAATTTCTGATCTAATTACACTTATATCTTTTATATACTTACCAAGTTATACCTTGGTAGTGGCTTTTATATCATCTTTGTTCAAGTCATTTGTATTTTCCAACATTGGATTCTCTTATGGCAGGCATGTCAAACTTACATCGTCACGGTGGCATCAGGTGACATATTGGAACTTTTTTCCCCTTCGCTAAACCATGTGTGGGGGTAGCCAGCGTGTGACCCATCCAGCTCATGGGCCGGGAGTTTGACAGCCCTGCTCTTATCTATTTGATTTTTAGAATAGAATAGAGTAGAATTCTTTATTGGCAAAGTGTGATTGGACACACAAGGAATTTGTCTTTGGAGCATATGCTCTCAGTGTACATAAAAAGACAAGATACACTCGTCAAGAATCACAAGGCACAACATCCAATGACAGTCATATGGTACAATAAGCAATCAAATCATACTAGGAAACAATATCAATATAAATCGCAAGGATATAAGCGACAAAGTTACAGTCATGCAGTCACAAGTGGGAGGAGATGGTGACAGGAACTATGAGAAGACCAATAGCAATAGTAATGCGTCCTTAGTGAATAGTTTGACAGTTTGAGGGAATTATTTGTTTAGCAGAGTGATGGTGTTTGGGAAAAAACTGTTCTTGTATCTGGTTGTCTTGGTGTACAGGGCTCTATAACGTCGTTTTGAGGGTAGGAGTTGAAACAGTTTATGTCCAGGATGCGAGGGGTCTGTAAATATTTTCACAGCCTTCTTTTTGACTCATGCAGTATACAGGTCCTTAATGGAAGGCAGGTTGGTAGCAATTGTTTTTTCTGCAGTTCTAATTCTGTGTCTGTCTTGTTGGGTTGCAGAACCAAACCAGACAGTTATAGAGGTGCAGATGACAGACTCAATAGTTCCTCTGTAGAACTGTATCAGCAGCTCCTTGGGCAGTTTGAGCTTTCTGAGTTGGCGCAGAAAGAACATTCTTTGTTGTGCTTTTTTGATTACGTTTTTGATGTTAAGTGTCCTTTTTAGGTCTTGAGATATGATAGAACCTGGAAATTTGAAGGTCTCTATTGTTGATACTGTGTTGTCTAGTATTGTAAGAGGTGGTAGAATGGGAGAGTTTCTCCTAAAATCTACCACCATTTCTACAGTTTTGAGTGTGTTCAGTTCCAGATTGTTCCGGTTGCACCACAAGGCTAGTTGTTCAACCTCCCGTCTGTATGCGGATTCATTGTTGTCTCGAATGAGACCAATCAATGTTGTATCATCTGGAAACTTCAGTAGTTTAACAGATGGATCATTTGAGATACAGTCATTGGTATATAGAGAGAAGTGGAGAAAGCACGCATCCTTGGGGGGCCCTGTGCTAATTGAACAGGTATCTGATGTGATTTTGCTTAGCTTCACTTGCTGCTTCCTGTCTGTTAGGAAGCTTGTGATTCACTTACAAGTGTGTTCAGGTACCTGTAGCTGATTTAGTTTAGTTAGAAAAATGTCCGGTATGATGGTATTGAATGCTGAACTAAAGTCTACAAAGAGGACCCTTGCGTAGGTCTTTGGAGACCCCACCTTTGTTGCTTTATAAGTCACTCAAAGTGGCAAACATATATAATACTCCTTTCTCTTCCTATTTTCCATACAACAATAACCCTGTGAGGTGGATTGGGCTGAGAGAGAGCAACTGGCTCAAAGTCACTCAGTTGGGTTTTGTGTCTAAGGCGGGACTAGAACTCACAGACTCCTGGTATCTGGGCCAGCACATTAGCCAATCACCATACCATAACTTGACTCTCTTATTATTATTATTATCATAATAAAGTGCATTAAGCAGATTTATACCCAGTATAATCATAACACCTAGTTTACAAACCACAGTGGTTCAATTCACATATCATATTATATTTCGCTTAGAGAAAATCTATTTTACTGTCACATAATCACACATTCTCTTGTATTTTTATGATATATATATGCTATGTTCAATCAAAGAAATTGTCTTTAAAGTAATCTGATGTTTCCATGCTCTTCCAGTATTTCACCTGTGAACAGTCTGTGTAATGAATATGACTACATAGCCCTTTGAATGCAGTTTCAGATGCAAATTGTAAAAGGAGCACTGAATACCATCCAGCCAAAGTCAAACATATTAAATTCCACCAATTGCAACAAGAGGAGTTTAAGTATGTCCATAACTTTCCCATTAAACTAAATTGCCTGGTCTTAAAAAGAATGAATGTTCTTGCTATCAAGTTTAAATGGTTTTTCTTGAAGATAGTTTGTTAAAATGGAGTGGAATTCAGAGGATGAACCAGAAAGCTCATGTATCTGTTCAATATCAATGGATAAGCGGGGACAGGGGAATGGACTCCTATTATCCTATTGGGACAAAACCAATGAATAGTAAAGTACTGGATCAGATATTTCCTGAGAACTCATTGAAAATACATCAGTGGGTAAGCAACTGTTTGTTAAATGAGAAACTTTATAGAGGTTTCTTGTGCTACATGCTACTGCATGGTAAATCTGATCTGAAAAAATATTTTTTTATCTTTAATATTAAATTACAAATATATATTTAATAATATTTACCAAAAGTGCTAGATTTTAATCATAATTGATGATAATCCTGTTATGCTATAGACATTGAAATTGTCTTGTGACTTTTGCAGGAAAAAATATGCTTCAGATTTTAAGAGCTGTATTTTTAACTACTGCAAATTATTAAGTTTCCCCTCAAACTTAATAACGTAACAGGGATCAAATGACAGCAACTTAGAACTAAGTAAACCTGAAGGGCTCACAACATACAACAGAATCTAGGAATACAATAATTGTATAAATTGCATAAAACTGAGTAAAAAGTTAATAAAAACTGATTTATACATATAATATTCTGCTCTATTTTTATTTTACTTTAACATTAATTGATTATTGCAAAGAAGTATTTCTGCTTAGTCATTTACTGACTGAATTAATATACCGTGTTTTCTCCTAAAATAAGACCCTGTCTTATATTTCTTTGAACCCTGAAATAAGCGCTTGGCCTTATTGCCATACACTCAAAAGCCCGATTGGGCTTATTATCAGGGGATGTCTTATTTTGGGGGAAACAGAGTATCATTAATATATCATATGACTGTAACCAAAAGTGATTGCAGTTTTTAAAAAAATCAGTAAAATATATGCCTAATTGTGTGGAATGTGGTATAAATTTGGAAGAGTTAATAAAGCAGTTAAATATTTAAAAAAGAAATTGTAAGGAAAACACTTTTGCAAAGCCACAAACCAAGCTATAACTTGGCATTTCTTACATTTCCAACTCCAAAGCAATGGTTAGATTGCTGTTCTCTTAAGGTTCTCAAATAAAGCTTGGATGCCTTTCTCCAAGGGAGTATCCCTATGGTAAGGCCTTTACTAATTTCATATGTTTTTATTGCCACTGTATAAATCTTCAAGTAAAAGTTTTATATTATAGTGTTGACACATTTTTTTTTAACCTTCTGGCACCTGCATTCTACTTACTCTGTTTTCACTTCACATACCTCAACTTCTTGGAGAATATGAAAGAAGTATTAGAGCAGAAAAGGAAATAGTCAAAGTTATTCTGTTCCAGAATTCATATAGTGTAATAGGTAGCAAATGATTATCTCATAGTTTAGAATCCAATCAAATTCTCAGTGCCAATTAATTTTCAACATTGGTTTGTTTGGTTTAATATCCATTGAAAAATAGCGATAGAGGAATCTGTGTTTATAATCTGAGTATTATTTTTATAAATTTTTTTCAGAATCAAAATGAAAGAAGAAAAAAATAAAAATTCCACAGAAACTGAGGTATGTGCAGAATATAATGGTGCACACAGTCCTGAGAGCCCTTAAGGCTGCACATATAACACCACTTCTGTATGAGCTGCATTGGTTACCAAGTTGCTTCCAGATCCAATTCAAGGCATTGATTGTTACCTGTAAAGCCCAGATGGCATGGGTCCAGGGTATTTTAGGAGCCATCTCTTCCCAATGGGACTAGCCCGCTCCATTCACACCAGCGGAAGAGGCATGCTATGGATCCCATCTGTTAAGGAACTCCGACAGATGGGTTCAAGGAGAATAGCCTTTTCTGCTGCAGCCTCATCTCTGTGAAACATTCTATCATCAGAGGTGAGAAGTGCTCCCTTTTGACCTTTTGGAAGGGTATTAAAACTTGGCTTTGCCAGTTGGCCTGGAGCGCCAAGGGGAGCACTCACTGGTGGAGGTGGTTGACAGTGTAAGAAGACGTCATCCCCATCCTGTCCATCTCTTAGTTCTGGTTTCAGTATAGTTTTTAAATTTTTAATATGTGTAGTTGTAATGTTTAGACATTTTAATTATTTTTCTACTTATTTTATAATCTGTAATCTGTATAGTCACCTTACAGGGGAGATGGAAGCATAAAAATGTAATAAATAAAATAAATGATGTGGTCAATTAATAAGGCTTGTTAGACGGTAGTCTTCGTTCTTCCTTTTGAACAGAGTGTAGAGTAGCATAAGATGACCATAGACTTCATATTACCTGGATGTTTATAGCACTGGTTACCAACCTTTGCGGCTCTGTGGACTGGCAGCAGCAGCAGTGTGGTGGGGGAGAAGGGATGATTTTGCATGCATACTCTCTGCTTGCACAAATGAAACTTTGCACGCTTGCCCACCAATTGTGTGGCCCAATTCCCAACAGGCTGCAGACCAGTACTGGTCTACAGACTGGGAGTTAAGGACTCCTGGTTTATAGCATTCAGAAGTTTCAGGGAAAGGTTAAACTGCTTTCAGTTTCTTCAGGAGTCTTAAATAGTAGCTAAAAAATCTGCTTAAAATAAGATCAGTTAACTATGAAAAAAAAGTGGCCTTAAACCAATAGCCTTCGTGCCCTTGTAAGTTGTAATTAACTATTCAAACTATTATTCAATTCTCTTCTGGGTTGTGGGGACTCTTCCAATCAGACTCTCACTTGTAATCAATGTCAATTTTACCTGCTAACATTCAGGACAGTCTCTATACTGTAAGGTGACCAGATTTTAACATTGGTAAAGAGGGACGTTGTGGGCGTGGCTTATTTTGTGGGCGTGGCTAGCTGGTCATGTGACTGGGTGGGCGTGGCTAGCTGGTCATGTGACCCGGTGGCCATGGCTATGTGTATAGGGTAAGGTGAACAGATTTTAACATTGGTAAGAAGGACACCATTGTGGGCGTGGCTTATTGTGTGGGCATGGCTTGGAGGCCATGTGACTGGGTGGGCGTGGCTAGCTGGTCATGTGACCGGGTGGCCATGGCTATGTGTATAGGGACTACTCAGAGGGCTGAAAAGTCATTTCTGACAGGTCCTCACACTTTTGACTGGTCCTCACACTTATGACCATCCTCACATTTATGCCCGTGCAGCATTCTTAACAACCATGTCACTCATTTCACAACTGCTTCTCTTCACCATGGTGACAAGATAGGGCAAAAACGTAAAATTTGAGGACAGTCGTAAGTTCGAGGACTGGTCAAAAGTGCGAGGACCAGTCAAAAATAACTTTTTCAGCCCTCCGATAGTCCATATGCACAAAAGGACTAACCAGAGGGCTGAAAAAAGTCATTTCTGACAGGTCCTCGCACTTTTGACTGGTCCTCACACTTATAACCATCCTCATATTTATGCCTGTGCAGCATTCTTAACAACCATGTCACTCATTTCACAACTGCTTCTCTTCACCATGATGACAAGATAGGGCAAAAATGTAAAATGTGAGGACAGTCGTAAGTTCGAGGACTGGTCAAAAGTGTGAGGACCAGTCAAAAATAACTTTTTCAGCCCTCTGAGTAGTCCATATGCACAAAAGGATATATTATATTATTCTATATTATACCCCTTCCCATTGTCATCTATTTTTATATCCATCCTCACATTGGTTAATTATGTAATTATGTAATACAGTTGTTTAATACAAATTCAACATTTTAATATAAATCAATTAGTTATATAACTATCTTTTTTGTATATTAATCAATATGAACATGAATATTCCAATTATTTCCATGCAATCCAATTTCTTACAAATCAATTAATTATATCTATCAATAATAATAAACCAAATAATTTCCCCCATATATACCTCCAAACCACAACTTAATTGCTGGGTCGCCCGCCCCTCCTCCCATCCGCGCGGCATCAGCCTACCCTAGCCCAGGGCTGGGCAATTGTGGCTCTTTTACAATGTTTGGACTTCAACTCCCGCCGAGCCCATTCTGGGGAATTGTGGAGAATTCTGGGAGTTGAAGTCCACAAGTCTTAAAGCTGCCAAGGTGGGAGACATCAAGCATGAGGCTGGCCAAGTATCCTCCTTGAGAGACAACAGTTGAACATCAGGAGAGCTGTAAGAGGGCAGGGCTACATTTGGAAATTTTCGCATTTTTGCAGGTGGTGCATTACGATCTGGTGTCTGCAATGGAGAGCAAAATCCGGCTTCTTCTCTCCGCTGTAAGGGCGGCATCAGGATTCCACCTTGGTATATTTGCAGCACAAGGCAGCCCTCCTCTCCTGTCGCTTGGGACTCGGAGCGGTAAACAGCGTCTGGTTCGGGGAGCAGCCGGATTTTGCTCTCCATTGCTCTCTCGGCCCCCTGCAAGCTCTCGTCTCTCGAGGAACGCTCCCTGAAATGGCGCGGGAAAATTTGGTTGGGCTTCTCGAGAGATGAGAGCTTGCAGGGGACCGAGAGAGCAATGGAGAGCAAAATCCGGCTGCTCCCTGAACCAGACGCTGTTTACCGCTCCGAGTCGGCAGGAAACGAGGGCTGCCTTGCGCCGCAAATATACCAAGGTTTTTTTTTTTTAACACTGATCAGCTGTAGGTCGGCCCTTTGAAGCCCCGCGGCAAGAGTTCAAACAGTTTTTTTTCCCTCTAGCCATCAGCGGGGACTCAGGAGGCAGAATGAAAAATCGGGACTTTTTTAAAATGCCGCGGGACGCGGGACAAATTGCTCAAAAGCGGGACTGTCCCGCCAAAAGCGGGACGTCTGGTCACCTTACTATACTGGTCTACTATCAGCTTCTTCTAAGAAAAAAACAAGCCACTGATGATAACTACTGGTAGTAAAGAACTTTTCATAAGAAAAAGTAGGATGACTACCATAAAAGTATCCAACACACGTAGTCCTCACTTATGGACTACCTCAATGAGAAGCAGTTCAAAGTTATGTGCTGAAAAAGTATGTTTTAAACTGGTCCTTGAATTTATGGCTACTGCAGTTGCTGCAGTCACATGATACTTATTTGGGCATTTTGCAACTAACACACACTGCAAACTTCACAGCTAGCTTTTGGCAAAGTCAGTAGAGAAGCCAGCAGGAAAGTACAAGTTGTGGTCACATGATGTTGTGCTTAAAGAACCATAGTGATTCACTTAATTAACTACCACAGTGGAACTAATGTCATAGGTTTGGCACAGTTATGTAATGTTTCACTCAATGACGACATTATTTATCAATGGAATTGCTGGTCCCAAAAGCAGTCAGTAAGTGAAGACTATCTATAAAAAAGTAAAACAAATACAAAATGCATCACTTCCCACTTTAAGACTATTGCAAAATATTGTTTCATATGAATGTATCCAGCTATCTACAGTACCTATCTCTCTCTCTGCCTCTCCCTCTCCCATCAACTATCTAAAAACTATCTTCTAAATTCACAACAGTGTAATAATGTCTGTATTATTATTCTTGCTATCATTTATTGTCAGTAATTTTATTATTTAATTATATTTGAGTAACTAACATATAGTGTTCACAATATGATTTCAGGTATTTATAAGTAGATGAGAGGGATATAGAAATCAGCTTCCCCTTTACACACATATACGTCAAATCTGTCAGAAAGAAGGGAAACTCTATTTATTTATTTATTTCAATTTATATACAAGTAGTCCTCAACTTACAATAGTTCATTTAGTGACAGTTCAAAGTTACAATGGCATTGAAAAATGTGACTTATCACCATTTTTCACACTTAAGACCATTGTAGGATCCCCATGGTCACGTGATCAAAATTCGGATACTTGGCAACTGACTCATATTTATGACGGTTGCAATGTCAGGGGTCTTGTGATCCCCTTTTGTGACTTTCTTACAATCAAGGTCAATGGAGAAGCCAGATTCATTTGACAATCATGTGATTAACTTAACAACTGCAGTGGTTCACTTAACAATTGTGGGAAGGAAGGTTGTAAAATGAAGCAAAATTCACTTAACAAATGTGAATTAACACTTAGCAACAGAAATTTTGGCCTCAATTGTGGTCATAAGTCAAGGACTACCTATAGTAACCCATCTCAAATACATAATTCTGAGTAGCTCACAACAATTAAAAACAATATAAAAAATACCAGAATCCTCAAAGATTTAAAATACCATATAAAAACCATATAACATAATTCCTATCTGAGGTATTGTAATATCCAAAAGCACTTCACACAGATACTGTACTGGCTCTCTCACATTCCTGAGTCCTCATACCAGTGATGGGTTGCCCCTGATTCGGACCAGTTCACAAGAACCAGCAGTACAACCGGAAGGAGGCTCTGCACACTGACCCGGACGTCATCATAGGAGATCTGCACATGCGAACTGGTAGTAAAGGTAAGTAGAACCCACCCCTGTCTCATACCCAAAACCAAAACCTTATGAAAGACCAACAATCTCTGGTGATTGTTGTTCCAAAACATGGGGCCTATGATGGAGAAGACTGTTTCCTGGGGATAACACTACCTAGCTGATGGGACCATGTAGCTTGCTTCTTCTGCCAGATATGAGGAAATGGGTAGAT